GGACTCTATATTCATCAACTAAGAAGAGAGGGACTAAGAGCTGGTGGCCAGGAGGCAGACTTGCAGAATGTGCCTTTTGGAGATGTAAATTATTATATATGCCTGAGTGGTTTTTGTTTGTTTGTTTGTTTGTTTGCTTGTTTTTCAAAAGCTAAAGTGGACAGAGAGAAATACTGTTAACTGATGGCACATGGAGGGGTTTATAATCATTGTAATGAAACAAGGTGTATGATTTGTTGAATGTAAAACTGATGATATGCCTTGTAAACTTTCACTCAATCCACAATAAAAACTTTAAATAAAAAAAAAAATTTAAAAAAAGCTCAACTATAAGGTGCAACTATTGGTCTCTCCATGTGTGGAAAAAAGAAGAGTGATGAAAACCAAAGATGCTTAGAACCAATTAGTGCAATGGACCAATGGAGCACATGAACATTAGTCACCACAATTCTGAGATCAGACAAACTAGATGGTGCCTGGCTACCACTACCAACTGCTCTGAAAGGGAACATCACATTAGAAAGTCCTAAAAAAAAAAAAAAAAAAGACCAGACTTACTGGTCAAAAAGAGAAGACTATGGCCCTTGACCACCCTTCAGGTGTACAAAGGAACTCACCCTCATGATCCAATTTTAGCCAAGCAATAGATAAGTATATAGGGGGACAGCAACACTAGTAACGTGTGTTCACCCTGGAGTGGTCAATCACTCAAGATCAAAAGGACAACATTTATCTGAGGACAGAGTTGAGAAGGGTTGGGAAGGAGGGTGGAATGGAAATGGCATCCACAGGGAAGAAGTGGGATAACTGTTGTTGAGTGACAGGGCTTGCAATCATTGAGACGAAACAAAATGTATGATTTGTTGAATGGAAAATGGATGATCTTCTCTATAAACTTTCACTTAATTCACAGTAAAAGTTTTAAAATCAAGATTCATTAATAATTGCTAGTGATTGAAATCTAAAAGTGGGAAATAAAAAGTTGGGAAATACTCCAGAAATGATGTTGGAGATCGCACGATGGAATTTTGTAAGACCAATGACTATTCATTGCAAATACCTTTTTGCAACCACATAAAGGGCATTATATACCCAGACTTCACCATAAGGAATACAAGGGAATCAAATTGAGTACATCTGTGGGAAATGATGATGGAGAAGCTCAATATCATCAGCAAAAATAAGGCCACAGGTCGAGCGTGGAGTAGACCATTAATTGCTCTTATGTAAGTTCAGTCTGATGTTGAAGAAAATGAAAACAAGTCCACACGAACCCAAATATGACTTTGAATATATCCCACCTGAATTTAGAGAATAAATTTAAAGCATAATGCATTAATGAATTGAAAGACCATCTCAAGAACAGATTTAATGCATTGACTGAAGACCAGAAAAGTTGTGGGATGACATCCAGAACATCATACATCATGGGTGGGGAACATCCAGCCTGCAAAATTATTTGGTCTGGCCCTGCCAAGGCAATCATAATCCCAGCCATCCAAATATAGCAGGCTAATGTTTTTTGTTTTGTTTTTTTTTTTTATTGTGAACTGAGTGATAGTTTACATGGGAGAACATCGGCTTTACACCATTGTTTCATGGCAATTATTGGCAGGCTAATTTTTAAGTTGATAATTTTGAATGACTCTGGAGTGATGTTATAAATATTCAAATGGCTCTTGGCAGAGGAAAAGTTCCCTACCCCTGTCATACACGAAGAAAGCAAAAGATCATTGAAAAGATAAGAAAAAAAGAAAAGACCAAAGTGGATGTCAGAAGAGATTCTGAAACTTGCTCTTGAACGTAAAGAAGCTAAAACAACTGGTAGAAATGATGAAGTAAAAGAGCTGAAAAGAAAATTTCAAAGGGCAGTTCTAGAACACAAAGTAAATCATTACAATGAAATGTGCAAGATCTGGAGTTTGAAAACCAAAGGAGAAGAACATACTCAACATTTCTCACACTAAAGCAAGTGAAGAAAAAAAAAATCAAGCACAGAGTTGTAATATTGAAGTCCTGGTGTGGCACTATAGGATAAGTACTGTACTGCTAACCACAAGGTGAGCAGTTCAAACCCACCAGTTGCTCCTTGGGAACCCTATGCAGTATCGGAGCTGACTCGCTGGCACTTGCAAATAACAACATGGGCAAAATAATGAGTGATGCATAAAGCAGCAATAAAATATGAAAGTCACTAAACCAAAAAGAATTTGGTTAATGTTCAACCATTTCAAGAGGTAGCATGTAATCAAGAACCAACAGCATTGAAGCAGAAGCCCAAGCTACACTGAAGGTATTGGTGGAAAACAGGGCTCCAGGAATTGATGTAATACAACTGAAATATTTCAACAAACTGATGCAGCACTGGAAGTGCTCACTTGACTATGCAAGAAAGTGGAAGACAGCTACCTGGCCAATGGGTTGGAAGAGATGCAGGTTTGTGCCCAGGCCCATGAAAGGTGATCCAGTGGAATGCGGAAATTATTAAACAGTATCATTAATATTTCATGTAAGTAAAATTTTTCTGAAGATACCGTTGCCGCAGTGCATCGATAGGAAGCTGCCAGAAATTCAAGTTGTATTCTAAAGATGTGGAACCAGGGATATCATTATTGACATCAGATGGGTCTTGGCTGATAAGAGAGAATTCCAGAAAGATGTTTACCTGCATTTTACTGACTATTCAAAGGCTTTTGACTGTGTAGATTGTAACACCCTGTGAATAACATTGTGAAGAAAGGGTATTTCAGAACACTTAATTAGGCTCATAAGGAGCTCTGGTAGCATAGTGGTTTGGTTACAAATGGGGCTGTGAACCTCAAGTTCAGCAGTTTGAAACTACCAGCTGTTCCGCAGAAGATGAGACTTTGTGCTCCAGTGAAGATTTACAGCCTTGGAAACCCTGTACAGGGTCGCTATGAGTCGGAACCAACTCCATGGCACTTAACAACAACAATTAGGCTCATAATGAAACTACATAGATGAGAGCCCATTGTTAGAACAAAACAAGGGGATAGTGAATGGTTTAAAATCAGGAAAGGTGTGTGCCAGGATTGTGTCCTTTCACAATACTTATTCAACCTGTATGCAGAAGAAAATCCCAGATAGATTAGATGAAGAACATTGCACATCAGGATTGAAGGAAGACTCATTAACAAACTGTGATATGCAGCTAACACAACCTTGTTTGCTGGAAGGGGAGAGAACTTTAAAATACTTACTGATGAAGATCAAAGACTATAGCCTTCAGTGTGGATTGCACCTCAATCTAAAGAAAATAAAAATCCTCACAACTGGACGAATAAGTAACATCATGATAAACAGAAAAGACTGAAGTTGTCAAAGACTTCATTTTGCTTGGATCCACAATCAACACACATGGAAGCTTGCAGTCAAGAAATCTAATGACGTAATGCACTAGGCAAATCTGCTGCCAAAGACCTTTTTAAAGTGTTGAAGAGCAAAGATGTCAGTTTTAGGGCTAAGGTGTATCAGACTCAAGCCATGGTATTTTCAATCCCTTTATATACATGTGGTAGTTGAACAAGGAGTAGGGAAGACCGCAGAAAAACAGATGAAATTGAATTATGGTGTTGAAGGAGAACATTAAAAGTACAATGGGCTGCCAGAAGAACAAATAAATCTGTTTTGGAAGAAGTATAGCCAGAATGTTTCTTAGAAGCCAGGATGGTGAGACTGTCCCTCTTGTACTTTGGACATGTTATCAGGAGGGACCAATCCCTGGAGAAAGACATCATGCTTGGTAAAGTGAAAAAGGCACAGTGGCACCAACAACGGACTCAAATTGTGTAACCATTGTGAAGATGCTGCAGGACCAGGTAGTTATTTTGTTTTGTTATGCATAAAGTCGCCAAGTTGGAACTGACTCCAAGGCACTTAACAGCTGTGTGCATGGTAGGTGGGTAGGTGCTCAAAAGTTCATTGTCCAGTGGATGAAAACAGCCAAATGGGAGATCCATGAAATGGTTTCCAGAGGACATATCTGAACAGTCACCTAGGGATGGGATTGTTTTTTTTTTTTGTTATGTGCCATGGAGTCGGTTCCGACTCATAGCGACCCTGTACAGGGTTTCCGAGGCTGTAAATCTTTAAGAAAGCCTTATCTTTCTCTGGCAGAACAGCTGGTAGTTTCGAACTGCTGACCCTGAGGTTCGCAGCCCGATTCTTAACCACAGGTTAGAACTCATCTATTTGTTAAGCCAGACACTGTGCTTTAAATCGGTCAGTGTTGGACTACGTATTCCTTTACATAATCCTCAGGCCCTTGTTATTGTTGCTGTTAAGTGCCGTCGAGTTGGTTTCGACTCAGCGACCCTGTACAGAATTTCCAAGGGGCGGCTTGTGAATTTGAACCACAGATCTTGCAGTCCAGTACTTATCCTACAGCGCCACAACAGGACTCACCAAGAGGCCCTTAGCGCAATGTAAAGATCCCCCACCTTTGTCTGTCTTACATTTCTGAGCGTAAAGGAGGTTCCTATGAGTAAGCACCGGCAACTTGGACTCTGAACACTGGGCTGCTGAAATAAAATCCGTAACATCCGCCACTTTGGAAAGAAAATTGTCCCTCACTCCGTGATCTTCATAGTTGGCTCCTGATGAGCGTTCCCTGGTTTTCTAGCTAGTTGGCCTGCCGCAATCGCCTGCGGTAACCTGGGAGCTGACGACCTCTTCCGACTCTACCAACTGTAAAATGGCGGTGTGAATTGATTTAATACGAGTGGTAAAAATTTAAAACGAAGTAAGAAACTTCATTTCCTAATAAATACAGCAATATAATTGTATTTGAATATAGCAAGGAGCTCATCTATCTTCAAAGAAAGAAGTTTGTCTCCTTTCTAACCTAAGACAATCCTTGTCTCCCCTCCTACGCTTGGAGCGCCCGGCTTTTGGTCTTTCCCGCGCCGGTACACCCCACGGTCACGTGCTCCTCCTGTCCTTCTCTTGAAACGTGCTTCCTGTTCTGGGGTCGACCTGCCATGGCAGCCTTGCTGAGACCAGCACACTGGCTCTTACGCTCCGGGACGACCCCGCGACTCCCTCTTTTCCTGCGTCTCCTCACTGGCGGCCCAGGCCGGAGGCACGCCGTCCCTAGTCTTCCAGCCGCTCGAGTGGGGCCAGTTACCGGGTGAGTGCCCAGGTCCTTTCCCACGCCAGGCTCCAGCGAAGGTACTTGGTATTGTGGATCCAGGTAGGGGCCGGACCCCGCCTGTGACCTCGTCGCCTCTGCGCTAGGCGTCTCGAGATGTCGTCTCTACTCCCTGCCTGGGGTTTCGGGTGACCTGGTTGGTCGATTTCAGAAGGTCACAGCCACGGGCATGGCTTGCTTCCGGCTAGGATCAGTCCGTTACCTTCTCTGGGTTGGGTCTTCCTGTCCTCGGGCTACCACGGCTGCCGTAGGTCTGGGTCGGACTTTGAAGGGTGCTTGCGGGGGTCGGTTAGTTCCACTTCTCACGATTGGACAGCTTGGGGGCTGCCCTACCTGGGAGCTTTGATGATCAGTTACCATCTAGGATTTCGATTTTGAGAACTTTAGGTTTTTTGCAGGACGATGGATTGGAAGTTTTGGATGGGCTAAGAATAACTTAGGGAAGGACATTTAATTATGTTAGTTTGGGCCTTTGCGTTTTCTTGAGTGGAGTTTTCTTTCAGAATTTATGACAGTGTAATATGGGTTAGGAATTGTCACAGCAGGTTCGGTGTCGTTGAGTAAATAAATGAGCACCCGCAAGGGGCATCTGGGGATGCAAAGGGAAGTGAGTGTCAAATGTTTGCATGTAAGTTTTCATAGGTTGAGGTTTTTCAGAATATGGGGTACAGATTTAGGGGGCGACAAAGAAAGTTTATGCAGGTGTCAATCTGAGCAGGGCACTTAGGTTTTATGCCATTGGGCAAGTTGCTTAACACCTCAAGACCTTTGCAATGGAGATGATAATGTTAAGAGTATTAAATAGGATCATCTATATAAAGGTATGAATATAAAACCCCAGACCAAACCCATTGCCATGAAGTCCATTCTGACTCCTAGGGACCCTATATGGGGATTCTGAAGCTGTAAATCTTTACCGGATCAGAAGCCTTACCTTTCTCTCGCGGAGTGGCTGGTGGGATTGAACCACTGACCTTGCAGTTAGCAGTCCAGTTCTTATCCTACAGTACCAGCAGGACTCCTTTTGGTAGTGGTGGTGGTGGTGGTGGTGGTGGTTGTTAGGTGCGGTGGAGCCGTGTCCGACTCATAGCGACCCTGTACAGGGTTTTTGAGGCTGTAAATCTTTACGGGAGCAGAAAGCCTCATCTTTCTCCCGCGGAACAGTTGGTAGTATCGAACTGCTAACCTTGATGCTCGCATCCAATTCGTAACCACTACGCTCCTTTTAGTAAGTGCTTTATTAATTATTATAATACTATTAATAATATTATTGATTAAATAGAACTTTGTAGACCAGCTTGGAAACCTAATCCCTGCATAAAATTTTGTGGGGGGAAATGTTTTATGATTTAACAATTTAGTTATAAACCTTTAGAATGTACACTATTTGTAATTTGTAGCCTGTCTGATTTTCTTAGTAGGCTCGTCCAGTAATCTTCAGAAGTATTCCGCTGTTTTCACAGGAGTGTATCTCTTGGCTTTCAAAGAGTTTCTTTTAAAAGTTATACTAATTATGTTGTTTTTCTAGTCAATAACAAGCCAGAGCAGGGTTGATGCTGTTGTATTTGAGGAAAACTGAGTAAAGAGACAACACAATTTAGTGACAAGGCTATGGGTTTGGGTGTTCATCAGACCTAGGTTCCAGTTACTTGCTGAACACTTTAACCGATCCTCAGCGTCATTATTTGTAAAGTAGAAGTAATAGGGCCTTTTCCTCAGAACTTTGTAATGCTTGCTTTAGTACTTGGCTCAAGTGTCATCTCTTTAGAGAAACTCTCTACCTCAATTCTCAGTCTAAAAGCCCTGGTTTCACATTTAGTCATAGCATGTCTTACTTGTCTGATGTTTGTACCTATTTGCTCTCCATTTGTTTCCTTAGTAGTAAATGCGCTACATGAGAGCAGGACTTTCTCTTGTTCACAACTATATGCTTAGCTCATGTCATTGTTGTTGCCATCTAGTCTGCTTTGACTCAGATGATCCCATGTACAACAGAACGAAATCTTGCCTGGTCCAGTACCATCTTCATGATTGTTGGTATGTTCAAGTCCATTCCTGTGGCCGCTGTGTATTTTGATTGTTTACTTTACTCAGTTTTCCTCAACCTAGGGGGTTCATCTTCCAGTACGATTTCAGACAGTATTCCGTTGTTTTTATTGACTGATTTTTGGAACCACATTGCCAGGCCTTTTTCCTTATCTGTCTTAGCCTGAAAGCACCACTGAAACTGACCCTGCTGGTATTTGACATGACAGCGGTATAGCTTCCAGCATCACAGCCACATAGAAATCACTACAAATGACAGGTGGAAAATGGCTTAGCTCTTTAAGTTAAGTGCCTTCGGGTCGGTTCTGACTCATAGAAACTCTGTATAGGGTTTTCAAGGAGCTTCTGGTGAGTTTGAACCACTGACCTTAACAGTTAGCAGCCCATTGCTTACCATATAGTGCCACACCAGGACTCTTAGCTTATTGTTGTTATTTAGTGCCGTTTGAGTTGGTTCAGACTCATTGAGACTCTGGATGGATTTCCGAAGAGCATCTGGTAGATTTGAACTGTTGACCTTGTAGTTCTCAGTCCAGTGCTGATTCTATAGCACCACACTAGAAGTCTGACTTAGCTCATAGCAGGCAATGAAAAGTATCTGTTTTTTCTTTCTCTTGGCTCCACATACTCTATACGGTCTCCTTTCCACAGCTTGTAAGCATGCCCATATCTTTTCCATGTAAACAGCACTTTTCCTGAGACTGCACTTAGACGAGATGCTTCTTCTTCCCTTCCCATACTCCCCTGTCTCTTTAATTTCCTCACTTCTCATTCACTCTTTCACCACTGCAATGACATTATTGACAGAGGCCATGATTGTCTTATTAATTTTTTTTTTTTTAATTACAAAACTCCTTGAGGAACACTTGAAAAATACAGGGGAGGTGGGTAAATAGTAAAATAAAAATTGTCTTTACTTCTCTTGCCCCGAGAGTCATCTCTCTAATCATATATATTATTTGTGAGATCTGTGCTTTATTTTTTTTTTTTTCAATTTTCCCAACAGTCCTCTTAATTACCAAATCCATTTTTTGAGCATTAACCTCTGGCATATTATTCCATTTCTCATTTTCCCGTCAAGACCCTTTTTTTGGCTTTAGTGCAAATACTTTCTTGATTCTTTTCTTTTAGGATTTTTCTCAGTTGCTTTCATACTGCCGTTTCTTCTCTTTATAGCTTAATTGTTAATATCGGTAGGAGTTTTGGGCTTGGTTCTTTCATGTTTCCCTCTTTTCTCATTTCCTTTGGGTAACCTCTCCCATTTTCAGGGTGATGATGGCTTCCTTTCTCTCCCTTGGTATGGATTATCTACTAAATACATTAACCTGGTTGAACTGTAAGTACTTCATGCTGGACTCATTTTTCCTCCTAAATCTGTTCCTTTTATGGCCCCTGCCTTAGTGAATGTTATTATTTCTGCCTGATGCCCAAGAAGAACCTGGCTACCATTGTCCTTCACTTCTAATTCATATCTTACTGTCCTTGAACAAATGTTCAAGTCCTGCTAGATTTACTTCTTCTGAAATGAATCCCCTCTTTTAATCTCTGTTGTCATAGTCTAGTTGCCCTCATAAACGTAATCATGTTATTTTCCTATTCATAATCAGACATCATCGTGGCTCCTATTCCCGCTAGGGTAAATTCTAGAAACATTAGGATAAAGGCTCCATGATCTGGAGATACTTCTGGAAACTCGCTTCCTCTAAACTCCTTCTTGTACCATCTGATTCTAGCCACACCAAACTACTGCTTTGAAATCCTCTAGAACAGGACTTCTCAAACTATAATGAGCATATGAATTCCTTGGAGAGCTGGTTAAAATGTAGATTGTTTCTGACAAGCACCAGGTGAGAGAGGCTCTGTTCTGTGGACCAGCAAGACAGCTGTTGACTTTTGGAAAGACTCTACTGCCTCTAACCTACTCATGTGATGGGAGGATGCATCTCTCTTGAAACTTAACTGCTTATCCTGTTTGTGTACTTCTTTCTTGTGCCTCCTCTGAAATCCTGCATTCACTTATTTGCATAACCACTCACACTCCAGACCTGACTGTTAAGTTCCTTGAAGTCAGGAACTTTGTCTTCTTCTTGTCTGATTTTGGCTTGTAGTGGAGTGAGTAAATCAATGAGAAGCTTAGACATTGAGGAGTAATGTGAGATGAAAAGAAGAATGAGTAGTACTTAACTAAATTCATACAGTGTGCTGCGTCTTGAATTTCAGATGAGTGTCACTGAGTGAAATTATTAAAATTTATAAATGTTTTTGCTTTCTAAAAATCAAAAAGTGCACACATTTTTATTTTTTAAGTCTTGTTTTCCTAATTCAACACTTTGTTCACAAATCTTCTTAAAAACGAGTTCTTGCCCTATCTTCTAGGGAAGGTTAAGGGATGAACACTTTCTATTTCTTTTGAGAGCTTTTAGAAATAGTGCTTGTGTGCTTCAGAGAGAAGATGAATTTTGAGCTGTGTTTGAAAGTGGATCTAGATTAATAAATAATTGGCCTAAAGGTGAAAACCTCGTATTGCTCTTTGATGGAATATTGTAAATTCTGCTTCTAAAGTTGGTGAAAAAGAAAATGTTTCGTGGCTTGTCACTCATTTTAAAAACGTCTTCTTGACAAATATTAAAAGTACCTGGTGATTTGGATGTTGTGTTGTGTTCCCACCTCTGAAATATCTTGCATAGGCAAATGCCTAGAGACCAAAATTTATAGTGATTGTAGTGATTGTAAGGGGTGGTCAGTGGAGGACGCGGGGGGTGGGGAGAGTTATTACTTAAGGTACACTTCCTATTATTTGGGAGGAAAAATATTGGAATGGATAGTGACCATGATTGCACAGTATGATGAATGTAATTAATATCACTGAATTGTACACATAAAGTGGTTGAAACAGCAAATGTTTTATTGCATTTTATAACAATAAAAAAAGA